GATTGATTTTGTCTGGTGTAGTGATTTAAATGGCGGTCGTTTTTTGTTACTTCCATGTAAGAACGACATCATGTCTAAGTATCTGGAACGTTATGAACTGCGTGATATGTAACTCTTTCAGCTGGTTAAATAGATATTTAGTCATCTATGATTATAATAACAACAAACTAGTAAAGATTATTAACACCCAATAACTATCGACGTTTGGTTCCATTGAAGATTTAATGGAATGTACTAAATGATATCAAAGCAGGTTTTCTCTAGTAGGACATTATGTATTGAACAGTATGAGGTATTCTTTGGAAATCTCAGTTGGTTTTCAGCTCAGTGATTTATACAACTTTTAGGAAATCTGTAACCCTATAGAACTATTCGTATTTAAAAAAAAATATTTGTTGACCATGTTTTTGGAATCTTAAGTGAAAGTGTTTCGATCTTAAGTTACCCGTCGGCAAAACTTGATATTTTCATTGAATATGGTACATTAATAGGATACTGTAAAAAATCAAATGACAAATCAATTGAAAAGGACTTAATTCAGAACATTTGATGGCATAGCCTAGTGGTGAATACATGCAAAATATGAATATAAGTAACTGCCTTAATGGCACGGGTGCTCTACAAGTTAGCAAATGCCAGGACTATTCTTCTGATTCCACATGGATCTTGTCCAGTACTTTTATTGTTTTCACTATGCAGTCAGGTAGGTATGGAATTTCCATTGAATGCGTTTTTTTGAAAGTTGTTTTAATAACGTATTTCTATAAGAAAAATGCATTAAGTAACATTCTATTTATATAAGTTATAAGAATATTAGATTTCTTAAGTTTTTAATTGTTAACAACATTACTTTTAATGTAATCTTTTCCTGGACGTCATCCTCTGGTTAAATTGTATAGATATGCCTAATTAAGATTAATCAATTTTCTCTCTTCATTTTGTATGCACTCGTTTGACTGGTTTTTACCACATATTTCTCATTTGACTTCAGGCAGACATGAAACGTTTGACGTTAATCATGTTATTTAACGATGCTCCCCATTCAAGCCTTATTGATTTGTGTCGTTCGTTTTAAAAAATATTTTTTACTTGTACTTCCGAACCGACACATATTCACAACAAAACAAGTATATAGCCTACATGCTTAACCAAATTTACTTTTTATTTTTGCAACGGCTTACTGACGTTCAAATGCTCTATTGTCTAATCGAGCTTATTGTTTATCGGAATTGTTTATATTTCACCAAGCAATATTTTGGTTCTGATAGTACCCGGCCAAGAATTATGGTTCCGATAGTACCCGATCATTTTTTGTTGATTGGCTTCATAACGAAAATTTTCTTAATGATCGACACGATTTCCGGGCGCAAGTATGCGATAGTACTAGCAAGTAAGTATATGTTGACACAGGCAGCAACGAACAGCAGGAAGCCGTAAGTAAACGGTTTTCGGACGATTTAACCAAAAGCTCCAGATTATGGACGAGGCAAGGTGATCTTCAAACGACCAAGATGGTCATGGTCCGACAGTTTGGTTCAAGTTTGTCAAGGGCGCATCTGATTTTCAGTAATTTGGGAAAATTAGGTGCTCCAGTTAATGAAAACTATAGTCAATAAAGATTAGAGAAATGTGTCTCTTATCTTATCGGAATGGTGTAAATAAAAGTGTCTTTGCGTTTATATAACGTAAATCTTGAAAAAAGATATGAGTTTTTGTTTGGTGTCTTAAAACTATTAAACGGATTTAAGCAAAATAAGCGCCAAGTTGTAGAGAAATATCTACCATATTTAATCTAATAACTGTTAATGTCAATGACCAAAGCCAGATCAAAATGTTTACTTTAAATTCCGTTTTTCAATCACCCCCCGCCCCTTTTTTCAGTTTGTTCAAGGAGATACATAAAAATAAATAGCATTGATTTAAGTCGTCCTCTCGCAGTCGCCTAATTGAAGTGGTTTCAGTCGGCCATCGAGTTGGTTTAAGTTTACTCGTCGACATGGTTTACTCATCCAGTTGGTTGCAACTGATCACCAAGCTTGTTACAGTTAACTCTTCGAGTTGGTTGTAGTTTGTTCATCAACCTTTTAGCAGCCGTTTTATTAAGTCTGTGGCAGACGAAATCAATACAGTCGATTTATCGCCAATCTAATACAAATGTAATTGTTTAAAATTGAAACAATTTCGTTTTTCTCATTTTTTCAATGATTGTAATCTAGTAGTCCCGTTCTAATAACGTCATTTTAACCAATCAAAGCTTGTCAACGTTTCTGGAAGACAAAGTTGTTGGATAGCAAAACTCAGAGAGACTGTCATATCACATACATTACTTTTGTATTAGATTGGCGTATCAGGTGCGCTGCAGAAGCCAAAATATCATATTATTTCAGTTGCAAGGTCATGAACAACCTCCTTTGCATGTTAAATTTCTACATATCCTATTTGAACAAATTAGTGAAATTTTTTTATCATATCATTGGCTTGTCTTGAAATGTCTCCGAAATACACTATTTTAATTTCCGGGTTTATGATTAATAAAGTTTTCAAGTATAATTATTATGCTAATTAGACCGGATATGACGTCTATAAATGGATTCTTTAATGATATATGTTATTGCTGATAGCGTGCTGCGTAATAATCATAGTTGGTTAATAACCATGATTGGTTATTATAATTCGAGACCTATATCAGGCTGGTCATTCAATGTGAAATTGGATTATGTCACACGCGGCGTAAACCTTGACTTAGATTCACGAAGCTTCCGAGTACAGTTATAATCAGAAGAGATTTAACACGTAGTTTGCTCTAAAGATTGTCCTCATTGCACTCAGTGTGGCTTAAGTCATCTCTATCACAAGCAAATAAAAGCAAAGATACAATATCTTGTCCAAGTTCTATCCCTGCTAGTTAATTTTGTTTAATATTTCATAAGTTAAGCGGAGGCTTCAAAGGCAGTGTGTTCAAGTTTGGCAGCTCAGCTCATATCATCTGAAATATTACGGAGGTTGAGTTGAAAAGGAACACTGTCTGAAACTTTTAACCGCCTTAGTTTTTGAAACTACTGATTCTTGGAAATATCCCCTTCCCGCATCACGTCTAACGAGTTTTGCTTCAGAAGCGGAAGCTCTGCACCAACAAAAAAAAAATCATCAGCAATAGTTATGGCACATGTATAAGATCATTTCCTTGAACTGGGCAGCTAATGTAGAATTTTAAACGGAACAACAGTTAACCTAGTTCGTGTTAAAGAAAGATTATTCACATTTATCAATGTAAGTTGGCAGTTAATTTCCATCTAAAATACCATCTAATGTTATAATCGATAACACTTTCTTAACAAATTTTTTCTAGCGGAAATTTGTGATAAAGTAGATAGGTGACAATAACTTTTCAAATAATAAAATTACGCACGGTATTTTTCTTAGATGTTGAAACATTTCGATGTAATTGATTTAAATCGATAACTTTACTGTGCTAGAATTCTGTTGCATGTGTTGTTTACGGGGTGGGACCCAAATCATCCGAATGAAGAAATACGAAGTTTAAGTTTCTCAGTGAAAGAGATAGCAGCAAGCTGTCGACAATTTATTGACGATAAAATTTCTAGCAATATTATTTACTAGACAGCGTCTTGAAATTTATAGACGTAAAAAACTTTAAAGTGGTATTTTTTGTCTATTAACCCATATCGTAGCCTATCATTTCATGATTTCGTTTCTGTTTTATCGTGATACATATCGTAGGCTATCGTTTCATGATTTCGTTTCTGTTTTATCGCGATACATATCGTAGCCTATCATTTCATGATTTCCTACTCTTTTATCGTGATACATATTGTAGGTTATCGTTTCATGATTTCGTTTCTGTTTTATCGCGATACATATCTTAGCCTATCGTTTCATGATTTCCTACTCTTTTATCGCGATACATATCGTAACCTATGGTTTCATGATTTCGTATCTCTTTTATCACGATACATATCGTAGTCTATCGTTTTATGATTTCGTATCTCTTTATTGCGATACATATCGTAGACTATCGTTTCATGATTTCGTATCCCCTTTATCGCGATACATATCGTAGTCTATCGTTTTATGATTTCGTATCTCTTTATGGCGATACATATCGTAGACGATCGTTTCATGATTTCGTACCCCTTTTATTTCGATACGTATCGTATGCTATCGTTTCATGATTTCGTATGTCTTTTATCGCAATACATATCGAAGGCTATCTTTTCATGATTGACAATACTCAGCACTACGTAGATTCCCATTGCTCAAGTTGACGACAAGATCTGTGATGTTTAAATCGTTGGTGCGCCTATCTCGATATTGCTAGGTACCATCTATGCTTATTCCACATGCTACAAGTATTTTTCACGTTATAGTTTGATCGTACACGATTTTTCCGTAACCAGAATTTTATTTTCACTCACTGATAATTATGTCTTTATAGATATTGCTGGTAGTCTTGTATTTCAGCTAACATGATGTAGCTGTAATTGAAAATGTTCCTCCAATTATCCGATTCTTTTGATCACAGACTTTCATGCAAAGGATATGACATGAAAATGGCAAATTATAAGAAAGTTTCGAACATTATTATTTAAAGTTGTTTCTTGAAAATATTGCAGATCTTAAATTTCTTGGAATCAGTTATATTCTCATTCTCCTAAAATTAGCTGAAGCATTCCTGGGTATGATGACAGGAATAAAAACTAGTCGCAAGGGAGGTGATGTAAAAGCAAGAATTATAACGTACGTCATCATATTTCTATTGCTGGATACACTGTAAAAAATCCCCTATAAAAATAACGCGTAAATATCTAGCAGCGCGGTTACCCAATTAATACCAACAATGGGCCCTATTTCATGTCTGTTCGTGTATCTGTAAAATTGACAGGACTTCTCCTAACATTTATTGGTTTCTTAATAACTCTTACAGAAATTATCTTTATACAAAGGCAATACTGAAAAAGGGAAAATGTTCTCTGTTGTAGGTTTTGGATTGTTGGAGAGTGGATCGGTATCAGCTAAAAATGAAGTTAACATTATGGTAAAAAATGCCGTGGATGTTATTTGTGGTGGATTGACCTATTGGATGTTTGGTTATGGTTTTAGCTTTGGTGATGATGAACCTTACACAAACCCTTTCTGTGGTTGGGGAAAATTCTTTGTCAAAGCCAGCGAAGAGGAGCTGGGATGGGTCTATTCTAAATTTTTCTTCCAAGCTTCTTTTGCAACGACTGCAACTACCATTGTATCGGGTATGTAAGGTCTATTTTTTAGGGGTTTTCTGTGCAACTGTTCTAATGTTCTAAGTTTTTTGAATTATGGTGCATACACTAATATCTAGCTTCCGGAATTTTTCCCAGGGATATGTAATGGCACTCCTCTTTCTAATCAATTTCGTACGCTTTAATCTAGAACCCAATGTTATTATCTGTAAAATTAGAGTAAATGTAAATATTGTTGTAAAATTTGAAGACTGAAGATTTGGAGATAATAATGATTATTGGATTAAATTATCCTTATATAATCTTAAGATTACAATCTTAAACAAATATGGATGAAATATTAATTAAATTACGAAAACTAGAATGTAGCATCCTTAAAGGGATATACGCGTCTAAACACATGCATATAGGACTAGCTGTTCAGCTATACAATGCTTTCTTCAATGTTTAAACGGGGACACTGTCAATTTGCACCATTGGATTTTTCTTTTTTAAAAATTGTCTGAGAAAGAATCCACTCTGACCTTTATTTTGTTTGAAATAGTTATGATTCTATACCTTTCATCTCTCAGGCGCAATGGCAGAAAGAACCAAGCTAGAATCGTATATAGTATTTTCCATGCTCAATACATTCGTCTATTGTTTTCCGGCACATTGGATATGGGGACCTAAAGGTTGGTTGCAGGAAATGGGTGTTATTGACATTGCTGGAGCGGGACCTGTCCATATGGTCGGTGGTTTATCCGGCCTGGTAGCAACGATGGTTCTCAAGCCACGTCATAACCGATATAAAAAGAAAAAGATGCCTCAGATGGGATCGCCTACAAATGCCTTATTGGGAATGTTCATGCTTTGGTAGGTATATTGGTTCTGTTAGTTCCAGGATATAATGATCTATTGCTACTATATGATAAATTTGATCAACTTGATGAATCGGCAATTTTCTGTGGTTTCCTCTTTGGTAATTGTCTATGATGGTTGTCTATGATCATAAATAAATGAATGTCAAGAGTCCTCTTGCTCAAACTTTAAGGCACAAAGAATCGTTTCATTCATAACCAAGGTAGATTAAGCTTTACGAAAACTGCAAAGGTTTACCAAAAGCAAATCCTAAAAATGATTATAAGCAAAAAGAGAACAAGAACATGGATTTTTCACCATCATCTTGTACACATCCAATTTGTTTTTAGGTGGGGATGGTTAGGATTTAATTGTGGCAGCACATTTGGTATTTCTGGTCTAAAATGGAAACTTGCAGCAAGGTGAGATTTTTGAGGTTTTAAGGAATTTAAGTGTTGGTATAGTGATATATATATATGTGGACTTCAACTAGTCTCTATGGTAGTTGAACCACTGGGTTTTAGATTTAAAACCTAACATTTGTAGTTAGGAGGACTAAATTAGGCTAATGACGCGTAATAGCTTATTCAGCGAAATGAGGGTGTTTTTAAATAACAGATTTTGATATTTCAGATCAGCAGTGTCAACTATATCAGCTTCTACTGCAGGAGGAGTAGTTGGCCTTTTATCAAGGTAAGTCTTATCCTTACGTGCGTACATCTCTTGTCTATTTTGCTTTACTCAATCGACCTTGAGACATAGTGGATAATCAATTTTGACTGTTGATCCACAGGTCCCGCCAGCATCACAGCGTGTCTCATATGATTGCAGTTTCTGTCCACAGTTGGCTGTATTTCTTATTAAACCTCTGTGGTTATTTCATTGACACTCTATTATATCTTTCAGTTATATAGTAAAGAAAAGAACGTTTGATGTTGCCTATCTTATAAATGGTGTTCTGGGATCTTTGGTAGGAATAACAGGTAAGGGTGTCATACAAGGTGCACCTACATACAGACAGACCATTGAAGAAGGCTGTTGTTTCTATTTATTAAACCCCAAATACAATTGCTATGATAGCTCTGCAGTAGACGGTCTTATAGAAAGCATTGTAAAGAAATTGCACGCATGTAGAATTTGCGTTCATCTTTTGCTTCTTTCAAAATTAACAGAAAAGTAAATTATTGCTGTATAACAGAACAGAATGAAAGACTATGATGACATCAAAATCCCATACACATGCATTTACATAATCTGATTAAAATATAAGATATAGATGTGTCGACTCCTGTTTTTTTCTGCAAGGTACTTAGAAGTCAATCACGATCTCAGAACATTATTTAACTTTGTGCTTTCAGCGACATGTGCGATGGTTCATCCATGGGAAGGATTAGTGATTGGTCTAATTGGAGGTTCGGTGACAATAACTGGTGTAGCATTACTTGATAGATTTCACATTGATGATCCTGTTGGTAAGCGAGTTCCTTAAATTTGCTTCTTTGATACAATTTGGAGGTTCAGTCGCGGTTTACTGTGCGGGATTATGGAAACAGTCTAAAAATAGAAGAAACGAATAGTCGGGAGATCCTTCACTTCTTCTGTATTTTTTTCTTGTATTTATAATTCAACGCACTTGGTCCCATACTTCGTTTATTTGCATTTAAATACATGTAGTCGCAGAAAAAGATACGGTTGGGTTTCTAAAACGAAAATTCTTAATCAGCATTTATTGATCACGGTGGTAACTGCTCCATGTTGACATCACTGACTTTATCTATGTTCTGTGTGGTCTGAGTCTTGCAGTTGCGGTTAGGATCGTTAGTACTTGGTTTATTGATTTTACTTAGCTGCTACCGTTCATACAGCTTTTCAGGTGCCAAAATGCCACAATCCAATTAATTGTATTGCAGGTTGTGTTGGAACTCATGCTCTTGGGGGAGCTTGGAGTATGTTGGCTGCTGGGTTGTTTGCCAGAAGAGACACTTTTGCAAAAGAACTTCATCTTGATGCTGTTCAAAATGGACTTTTGAATGTAAGTTTCGAATGTTTCCGATATTAATGATAGTGGAAGTTCTCCTTGTCGACAAAATCATGAAGACGATTAAAGGTCAAAAGAATATACACTTTAATGCTGCTTTATCAACACGACGTCAAAACGCCATAGCTCAAACGTCATTTTTATTCGTCAAAGCCTATAACGCTCAATTTGATTTTTTCAGGGAGGTGGTTTTTACCAACTTGGTGTTCAAACATTAGCTGTTGTGACTTTAACAGTGTGGACATTATTTACATCATTCTTTTTCCTTAAAATTATCGATCTCGTGATGGGATTACGGGTCCCTTTAGAAGAAGAAATTCTGGGTGCCGATATCGTGGAACATGGTATTGGAAACTGCTATTACGATAAGGCAACCAAAAAACTAGTAGATTTCGATGACGAAGACATCATATCTGAAAACGTTCGTTCACGTCGACATTCGCACGTCTTCGGCAAACATACAGATGCGGTTTCAAGTTTAGCCGCAATGACTTTAGCTCATGTTACTGGTGAGCAACTTCATACAGATGTTTTAAAAGACGAGAAAGCAGCTCCTCCTGGTTCCAAGTTGCTCCGATTTTTCAGAAAATTCGGTAAGAAACGAAAGCGACCTGAAAATGGTATTGATCAAATTGCTGCTCAAAACCGAAATTCCACGAACGGTCACGTACCTAACGGAATTTCGAATGGAGTTTGTAATGGTGGATTCGAAATTAGATCTCGACTTCCGTCCGTTTCATCTGTGAATTCGATTTATCCCGCCCGAAGCGAACATTCCTTTAAAAGTGATCATTATATTGAACCACCAAGTATAGTCAGTAGAGATGGTGTTATTCCTAATCAAGTTGTAGACAATACAGGTGGTTTTGTGATTATACCTACCGATAGTGTTGCACAAATGACTTATATTTGAAATCAGTATAATTGTAAAGCGTGAATACGCAATGTTATTATAAAATCCTGCCTTTATAATGTCCTTTAAAACAAATTGTGATACATTTTTATTGTTGAAAGTTTATGTGAAATAAAATATTGATATTTGTGCGTAACAAAAATTTTGAATGCAAGAATTAAATAGAAATAACTCAATATCTTTATTTCTTTAGTATTAATTTAGAAAAATGAAAATAATTATAGGAAATATAAAGATGTTTAATTCTTTATGTGTTTCGATATTAGCATCGATTTGCACCATTCCAATTTCCAGTCGGACGTGTGTGGTTTCTGCTATTCCACTAAAACTACCTCGGGAATAAAACCACGTCAAAACCCATATTCGTGATACGATGTTTGCGATGGTACGCTTAGTTATAGTGGAATTGCAGGAAACCACAGACGTCTGATTGGACATTGAATTAGTGCAAATAGATGCTAACAGTGTTCCCGTTACATAAGTTCAAACAACCTCATTTAATGGGAACGTGAAATGAAGGAATGGTTTTCAATACAATGCGCTATAGGGTCTTTGAACACTTGTTTTGATATCCGGACTTCTACATCTGTCCCGTTCTACTGCTGTACGACTACGGTAATGGCTATTGTGAACAGGTCTGAACGCACCTGGTACCCATGGACACACAACAAATGCTTCCTCTTCTTTCTGTGGTGAATATGATCTATAAACTTCTCTAAAATGTTCAAATAATTTCTTAGAACCTCTGTGATTTGCATAGAGCTCTTCCCAATGTTCGCACGCAGTTCTGACAAAACCTTTTCTTAAATTGGCATAGTAGTCATCAACAGCTTTCTTGACTCTTTCGCGAATATCGGGGAGATCTTCTATGGTTAAACGTTTACTACTTATTTTAAGGACTGGTAATGGTACTCTATCCCTCTCTGTTCTAGGTATTATCCAACCATTATGTTTTCTTCTACTAACTATAAAGCAATATGGACACGATAGGATCAGCAACAAAAATAAAACTCATGGAAGATAAATACGGATTTTACTAATACTGAAAATTACGCGTTTTCACTCGAAGCTCAATGTTGTAGGGAAAAGTCTCAATTTATGTGTTACCAACTTGTGGGCAATATTTTAGCAATCTTAATTTCTTTTCTGAAACATCTGACGCTCAAATCGTCTACTATCTGCCCACAGAGTTAATTTCAAATAAGGCATTAATAACTCCCAGGAGTAGAATGTAACATGGCGATCGCGGGACTATATTTGCAGTATCTATCTCAAAGTTACAATGTTTCAATGGACGCGTAGAGAAAAACACATCTATAGCTTTATTATATGGATTGAGTTGATAAACAAATATTAGAGTGACATCAACTGTAAGAAGGGTGACCTTGAATTGAGTTTTACAAATACTTTATGTGCTTTCGAGTTACCTTTTTTCGTGGAATCTGCTCTGTGACTTACAGCAGACTTTAACCGGTCTCCACTTTTAGACAGCTTCTGGGAATCTGCAACAATTGAAATAATTTTCATTTGTGGTCAAATTTGTTTAAATGAAAATCTGGATGCGTGGTTTCGTCTTCTCTAAATGGCGACTCTACTAGTCATCCATGATCTGACAATTTTTTTTTATCTCTTTTTCCTTAGACAATGCATTAGTTTCGGTCATAGATTATATAGATGAAAAAATCAAAAGATTGAAAATCATCCATGTGTTTCAAGACCATTCATGGTCATTTCCTTCTAAAATCAACCGATATCGAATCTCGAAACCGTTCACCTTAATCTAAGAGATTACAAGGTTTAACGGATAATATCGTCTTTAACTCGATTTTGTTCTATATTTTTTTAGTGGCTCATGAAAGCTCATGATTGGTACAAATAGAACCTTTTCCAATCTCTTTAAGTTTTCAAACCTTTACTCTCATTCCAAATTTTCTTACCCTCTTTTTTTAATTTCATCACATCACATATTTTTGGCATTTTTGAAACTCTAGTTTGAGAGTTTTTAATGGCATCCTGTAAAACAAAACATGAAAGTGATTTTTACATCCTGTTGTTTTTTGATAAAGAATTGTCAAATAGTCATATGAAATTACGCGCCTGGTCTTGTTACTAGAATCTGATGGTTTTTATTTACTCACAACACGTAGTTACGGTTACGTCAATTAATGAATTACGAGATTGTTTGGCAATTCTTGCTGCAGTCTGCTACATAGCCTGCTCTCCATTTCCATATGCATAGATATGGAACCTCAATACAAATAGATCAAAATCATCTTAATATTAGATTGATCAGCATGGAGACAGTTTGATGGAAGCGCACCCGAAGAACATCAGAGGGTTTGGCAGTCTGTACCACACAGTCAATTATGGGTCTTCAGCTGGTCTTGCATGGCCTAAATCTTATGTAATTGATGTCAGTTTGTTTTTCACTTCTTGATTCATCTCTGAAATCTTACTTACTGTTACAGCTATCTGTATATCTCTATCCAGATCTTTCTGAGATTTAACAATCCTCAATGGATCGAAGTATAATTTGTTTGATGGTTTGTCTATTTCTTGCAAAACATCGGATGCTTTCAAACCGATAGTCTTGCGAACGGTTTTGGTCTTTGAATCGCCACACGATATGACAAAATTCAATGGTTTAGCATACGGTGATTTGATACTCCTTGCTGCTCTCTGCATTTTCTTTAGTTTCAATCTGAGTTGTTTATCAGTGAGCCCAATGAGACGAACACCGGCTGTATAATGACTCAAGACATGAGGCTGTTCAACCTTCTTGGCGTGCAGCTCGGAAAGGTCCGACTTTCTGTTAAATTTCCTCAAAGCAGAGAAGAACAATCGCTGACGTTTCGTATATTTTGGAGATTGGTTTGATTTGCCTGAAACACAAATTCACTTAATAATCTACGTGACTGGTATTGCCGATAGCATCTGTTCAACGTACGTATAAATCACGTTAACTCTGATAAATATACATGTTAGAATGATATAATGGCATATAAAATATATTCGAGCAAACGATTTGGATAGGTGAATAGACATCACTCTTGCAGGTAGGCCTACATTATTTTGTGAGCAAATTTAATTGCACACGAGTTCAACGTAAGAAATGTACTTTGAGTTTGAGATGAACCTCATTGGCTCTCATTAAATATTTAGATATATATGTACCTCTTTGCAACGGTGTACATTACATAGCAAATTTTCAAATTATCAGAATTTTTAGAAGCATAAAAACATTGAAGAAAGCATCGTATAGATAATTTACACTCACTGTCACTTTCATCATCCATAGCGGTAATATGCATTAAGAATTCATCGAAATCAATCTCGCCATTGCCATCTTTATCTAGAACTTTGAGTACGTCCTCTACCTCTTCTCTAGTAATTTCACTATCCACTCTCTTCAAACCCTCATAGAGAGTATCAGCATTTAATAATCCGGTATGAGCAGAATCTAACATATCAAATACCTAAAAACCAGGAAAAAACAAAATGTGTTAAAAGCTTTTAAAGGAAATATTATATTTTCAACATTTATCGGTTTTACCATTTAAAAGCTCATTTTGAGCCAACCATGCAAAAGTTCTTAAAAAGAGATTTAGAAATGAATTTCGTACAAAAAAATTCTATTATTATCAAAAAAAAAAAAGTATGAAATAAAAGATATGAAATTGGTGGACTAGGTACCTCTTTAAAAGCGCTTGTATGATCATCACTGAGCTCTTCATACCACTCTTCTGATATCTCTAGATTAAAAAGAGAGATATATGACTGTACCGGTACTTTACCAAATACTCACACCCCAATATAAACCATATTGCTCTTCCTGATGATGCCTTCACATCAGAAACACCTATCGAAAAGAGACCTCTTATGACCAAAGATCTTTAACAATCTTTTTGTGCTTATCGATTTCAACACTTCCTAGTTCATATACTATTTAGAATGGAAATCCTACTACCTGTTCGTCCGATATTGATGATAAGCGATCGTAGACGAACTGTATGTCAGTGTGTTTTAATAGACAGTGATGCCGCTAAATGGTATTGATCTCTATCAGCTGGTAAACCCTAGGATTTAGGTTTGCCCCCATTAGTAAAATTTGTCGTCTTACCACTGGCCTGATTTGACTCGACTTCACTACTATGATGTTTATCATCAGGAAATGACACTGATGCTGAGGTTTTCTCTCCTCTCTCTGATATTGTTCCATTTGTGACACTTGATGACTGAAATGGTATAAACTTACTAAAAATGATGGCTTACGTCTACTGAGTATGTATACGAAAAAACAATAAGCTTATCCCTCGGATATTTCTAACCTGCACCCCCAGGAATTTCCGAAAGAAATGGTTTTAGATATCATAAAAAATGATTAATTTGACTTATAGACCGGTAGGAACTAATCATACTAAAATAAGGGGCGCAACTCGTGCAGTCATGACTCGGTCAGTACATCAACCAGTGAAGTAGACTTTCTATTTGTAATCTATACATCTGAAACATCAATGTTTAAACAGATGAAGACAACGGGAGCTCGGTTCCTAAAAAAGCATAACTGTAATGTGTGCGGAAACATTATGGAATATAGCCAAATCAAGAAGAGTATGTATTTCTGCAAAGACTTACTTTCGTAATTTTCTTCTGTCCTTGAAGAAAACAGACAGCCGTATGTCAAACCGAAGGGCATGTATTCAATGTTTTAATTATCCGATTTCATATTCTGAAATTTGTAGGCGATTCACTTACCAAATTACGTTTATTCTGGGTTAATTTTAAAAGCAAATCCATTGCATCACTCTCTCTTCTATGGGGGTGATATTTTTCATCAGGTGTCCCACTCCGCTCTGGCTCCTTTTCTTTTGATTTATTTCTCTTCTTCATATCAGTAATGCTTCTGAGAATAAATAACTTCGACCTGTCAACTAGAGAACATGTGCATTTGTTTATATTGTGACGTAATTCGATAAATAAGGTCAAAGGTTGCAGTTAACGCATGCGTGTCTGTCAAATACAGCATGCTTCCGGTAGCTCAAGCACAGTAATCTTCGAAGTGTAAAGGACGATGTTGCTGAGCTTAATTCTCTACTTGCAGGCTTTGAGGTGGTTTGCACCTGCTGCACTCCTCCTTGGATCTTCTCCGGCATTCTTTTCTGTATGGGCATCATGGCGCCTTCTGTCGTCTGTAATGCCAAGGCGTGTTTTTCGAGCCGGTGATGACACTATGTATTCGACTTATCAACGATTTGTTTTGTTTTTCTTTGAGCACTATGCTGGAATACAGGTGCATAACCTAACCTACATTATTATGATTCAACGATTAATTCAAAATTGGGCAAATTTACTGGTAGTTTAGCCTTGCAAGTCATTAGTTTGTCATAACATGTATTTAGTGTGAATAAAACCTGATTGCATTCATATCTGACACTTTCAGGTAAAATTTAAAGGAAAAATAAAGATTGGTCCAAATATCAATAATTTGATATGATTATACTCCTGTCTTGGTCGTCTGGTTCTCAAGATCAAATCCAATGCAAATGCAGTTGATCTACTAGTAAATAATATGCAAAAAGCAAATTCTATCTGCACATTTCTTGAATTGTAAACATAAAGTTATCTATTGTAAAGCAAATATCTTTTGCCTCCTTTTACTTCTTAATTAAGTTTTTTTAAATTTGATTTTAGATTTATTTATATGGAGATGTTGATAAAATTTTAGAAAAGAAAGAGAAAGTATTCTACATATCTAACCATCAATGTACAGGTATGTTGATAAGGTATTGAGAAGTGTTTTAATAGATGGTCATACAGCCTGACAGAGAAAAAATAATGTTGGTCACCTTTATAAAAAAGAATTTATGCCTTACTCTTCCATACTTTATTGAAATAAAGCAAAACTAAGCAAAATTCACTTGACAAATCGCAAAGTGCATCATTCATGAGGTAAGAATGGGTTTTTTTTATCTTATGACAAGCACTGGCTTTTACCTCAGTCTACCACCATTGGTGATTGATATAGTAATTCCAATTATTCAGCATTAAAAACATATTTATTTGTTTATATTTTAGTTGATTGGGTTGTGAGTAATATGCTAGCTATAAGACAAGGTAGTTTGGGCCATGTCAGATATATTTTGAAAGATGGCTTAAAATACTTTCCTTTATATGGTTTTTACTTTGCACAGGTAAATATATTTTACCAAAGTTGTTTGATGTGATGAACCTCTGGAAGAAAAATCTGAGCCATGATAAAAAAAGGGTAACAGAATTTATCATGTCAATTTCAGTTTGGAGATATTTGTTTTGTAGTATTGTGATTGAGTAACATTACCATTGTTGCCCAATCCAGTGAGTACTGAGTAGTAAAGACTATTCATATATCTCTTCAGCATGGTTGTGTTTATGTTAAAAGAAGTGGAAAGTTTGAAGAAAGTAGAACGTCTAAGAAGTTAATACAATTAGCTAAGGATAATGTAAATGTAAGTGGTATTTTTATCTCAGTAAAGTGAAAAGAGGTTAATGATTCAATAAATTTGAAAAAACACTGTTGTTTGATTATTTGAGAATCAAAGTTAACAAGTGATCTCTGCATTTAATATTTGGCTTTTTTTTTCACAATTACCGGCATTCAAATAAAATTTATCATATGTACCATGAGGTATTTAATTCTGAAGGCGAGTAGAAGTGGCAACAATACACATGTATATATGCCTCGGCAGCTGTATAAAGGTTGTAGAGAGTTGATGCTGTGAGTGATTTTAACTGTTGAAATGTCACTCTAGTAGTTCAACAAAACATGTCATGTTAGTGTACATAACGAGATTTTGTTGCGATCGACCAATGCTTGATCATTTCAGACATGGATGGTTGTTTTCCCTGAGGGAACAAGATACAATCCAGAACTTCCAGACATGATCAGTAAGAGTCAAAACTTTGCTAAAGAAGAAGGTAGGTATTGATGTGACCATAAAGCATGGTGTTTCATAGGACTAACTTGGAGTTGCATACAATAGAAACATAAAAAATAGTTTACACAATAAAACTTGCAGTCATTTACAGCACAACTGCTCCAGAGGTGAAGTGGTGAAGAGCTATTTTCAATCATGTTGTCTTGAGCCTGTTGTCAATAATTTAAGATATTAAATGATTTAAAAATATTAATTTTTGCAGGTTTTGAAGTATTAAATAATGTGTTAGCACCAAGACATAAAGCTGTATATATAGGATTAAGTCATCTGAGAGAATCATTAGATGCTGTATATGATATTACCATAGGATATAATCATACCATGAATAAAGATGGGGAGAGACTTCCTGCTCCTAGTATGCCAGGTAAGATTGTATAATAAAGCTAAATAGTGAATAGTCTCCATTACATTGTGATTTCTAGAATGTGGGCCAATGCCACTGTTCTGTCGTTGAGCCTGTGTGCCTGTTATCATACAATTATAGCCAATTTGCATGTTCATGATAAATTCCACACAATTCTTGTACGATGTGACAGTCAGAAACTATTGTGGTTCACTCTGTCTCTAATTGATATTTTTGATAATTTGATTTTGAGTTGTTACAATATCCTATTTCTTTTATTTCCAGATTTTCTCAGTGGTCAGACATCAGAAATTCATATACATATAAAACGTTATGATATAGAAGATGTACCAGAAGATATTAATGGATTAAGACTGTGGTTACATCAACGTTTTGTTGAAAAAGAGAAGTGAGTATAAGAGATTTCCAAAGCATTGTTTTAATTATATGATATTTGAAAAGTTAACATCATAGGATTATTTGTTTAGCAGATAGCTTTAAGGGATTGTAAAGAGTTTTTCTAAATATTTTATGTGTATTGGGAACACTGATAGCATCAATTTGCACCATTACAATTTTCAATCAGACATCTGTGGTTCCTGCAATTCCATTATAATTAAGTGTTTGATGATGTCACTTATAGCAAAGGGCCTTATGTGATAAAGCATAGTTTGCTTCATATTAGTGACATTTAACACAAGTTGAGGATGATATGCATATGACTTACAAATGGAGAGACTTATCTTAATTTTTAACCACTTCTGTTTTTTTCTTGGAATATTAACACAGTAGAATATAAAGTAAAATCTTTCCTATTTTTCAGATTGATGACATACTTTTATAAGAACAAAGAAAACCCAGAGACTTTTCCTGGTGTTGGCGTTTTATCAGAGACATCATTTTTATCAACCATTCCCTCACTGTTTTTATGTACAGGAATGGTTGTTGCTGCATTAGCCACAGAAAAAGGCAGATCCTGTTATTGGAAATTAGGCCTTTTCTATACCCTCTCTTTAAATGCTTGGATGAGGTTTCGATATTGAACCTGCTAAACCACCAAACGCTTATATCACATGCTTTGAGTAGGACATAATCTTTGTCCAAAAAACTTGCGAATCAAAATGTTTATGATGAAGGTGTAGTAAGCTATGCATGTTTGTTTATGATGGAGTGCTCTATTAAATTACTTAAGTCAGTCAACTAAGTTTTATATCAGTAATGGCTTTGATTGAAAAATTATCTTATTTAATAGGAAAAATTAGTCTATATGAATATCTATGCATTTACAGATGACAAAAGTACACACACAATGAACCCGTATCTCAATAACCACGTATTCAAAGCTAAACATAATGTGACGGGCAACATAAAACCACCCTTAGTTAAGGAAATGAACTATTCCAATCATATATGTACACCTTCTGACTTTTAGAGAGTATGCTTGTGAGGAAGAGTTCAATAGAGAAATAAGGGATGTCAAGGCAAATGACTGGTTCATGATTTTTTTGTAGATGACATTTTATATGTATAGTTTGGTTTTGCAGTAACTTTAGACAGTTTAACCATGTACTAAGAAATTGATGTGAACTTGAAATGCTTGTTATTGTATGATTTGATACTGAGTTGTTATGAATCTTTTATAAATTAATGTAGATAATAATATATATCTAGTTGTTGATTTATTTGAGAGTACTTGAATAAATGTTTATACAAAAAGTATCTGAACCTTTTTTATTTTCTGCTTATGTGATCACAATATCTACTTGCAATGTTGGGTGTTTAAAACAGATGACTTCAATATGAGGTTTAGGTATAGTCAAAAACATTCATGCATATACTAGCCCTCATACATAACAGATCAACTTTTGGCAGGCTGTTTTCCTTTTATGTTAAATGACTCATATGTCTGAAATTCAAATTTAGCTTGTGCAAGTGTATAGCTGTTTAACACATACATTCAGGGCCCTTATAAAAAAACAAATAATTCATTTACAATATAATTCTGAATATCTCACAGTAAGCTGTTTAAATATTTACAAATTCATGAATTATATACAACTTTACAATACTGAAGCTTGCAATATTTAGATAAAGCTTAACCAAAGCAAGCAAATCGAAAATTTGATTCCATCTTTTCCTTCTATACATATATACACATATTTCTTTAAGGGACACTGATGGCATCAATTTGCAACATTCCAATTTTCAGTAGGACACCATTGAAGTCCCAAAATATGCTTTATCACTAAGGCCTTCATGATTTGTGACATCATCAAACACTTAGTTGTAGTGGAGTGTTAAAAATGATGCTTTCAGTGTTCCTGATACACGTACATCATTTAGAAAATCTTATTAAGAACTCTATAAGACCACAGCCACCCTTCATGACTAGTCCAACAATTCATTTCCTTATTTATTAGAAAAGACTCAATGTAGGCCACATAACAATATGTTAGATAATGGTACATATGTGTTGTGTATACTATAAGAACAAATATTGTTAAACAAATACTGCAAAGATATAAGCCACTGAAGGAGACGCTTCGTAAAGTGATTTCATTGTCATGTTTTGGAGATACAATTAGCAGTATATTACATCAAAAAAACACATTACAAATATTTGCCGTATGCACTTGTATTATACAGCATGATCATTAATATAAGCTTCAGGTAATGGTAATTTAGCCAGATAAAAAATCCCATTTGACTCGCAGCATGATCACAGAGTTCAAATCTTTCAAATTTCCAATTTTTACAGATCACAATTAACAATTTCAATAGATTGCTTTAAATATCAACATTGTCAGGAGAATCACAGTTTTGGGTAAAATTATTATGATTTTCTTCTGTAGGTGTTGAAGCATCATCCTCAACTTGATTATAAATATCATTTTCCAACTCTTGTAAACGAGAATGAACAGCATTCAATCGTGTTGTATCTCGACCATTGCTGATCCTCTGAAATTCCTCAGCTAGCGTGTGAAGTGGTGGACTACTGGATGTTCGGGAACTGTCTCCTAAATGAAGTCTTTCAAGATGAATGGATAAATCTCTCTCTGTTGTTGAACTATTAGGAGGACTTTCAGAAGGTGTTTGTGGGGTTTGGGGAGTGTTTGACGGTGTTGGTGGGGAAAGTGAGGTATCATACCCACCCCCTGTTCTATCAATTCTTACAATAGGAATAGGAACTTGTTGACCACCAGGTAAAGATAATACTGGAGCTTCATTTCCATCACCACCTGGTCTATCAGATTCTTCAGAACTTGGGTTTCCAATCTTCAACCCAGCTATACCTTTTTTATTTGGCATTGTGACTAGATCTCGCTTAATTCTACGCTTCTTTGTTCGATCATTTCGTCGACACTGGATCATATTTTCAAAGTCTATAATATACATAAATCCAGCTATTAAAAGTTCAAAAGCTTTGTCTTTCTTTTTGAAATGAGTTTCAATATCGATACTGGTTCTATCATCATATTGCCACCAACCATTGGCACCTTCATAGAACCATTGATAAGCATCATCAAACAAGACAGTATGTTCCAAATCTTCTTTACGTAACAGAGTAGGATGTAAGAAGAAATCTGGAGGTATAATCTGTCTACACAGAGCACATTTACGGCTTCTGTTGGCCACACCTTTTACACAAAGGAAACAGAAGATATGTCGACAGGGTAACTGTACTGGATGTATACAGGGTTGAAGGCAAACTGGACAATCTGGATTGTTTAATGAATCTTAAAATATAAAATAAACAAATAATATAACAATTATTAGATTAATAAATTTTTATACCCAGTAATAGATCCACTTAGATACCAAAGTATCATTCAATTAAGGAACAATAATCTGAAACAAGATATTTTGTAGTCTAGGAAAAATTTATCAGGGCAAGCCAGGAAAATTGAAGAAAGATGAGGCCACTAGAAATTTAAGTTATCTTTTGACTTTGTTTAAGTTGTTCAATATTATTTTAGTACCATTTTGACCTTTTCTGGGGGCCATTTTGACCGTTTGGATCATTTTGGTTAGATGCCAAGTTAACAATAACCCATAGAAATACCTTCTTGATCCTTTTTTTGCTTGTTTTGTTTATCAACAACAGTGACATCATCATCATCACTGCTTTCATCCAAAACTTCTTCCGCTCGTTTGGCTCCATTTGAAACCTTGTCACTTTTTGGCTTAGAAGATGAAGCCACCATTCCATTTTTGACCTCCTTATCCATTTTAATATAAAATAATTTCTTGTTTCCGAAATTTCAGAAATTTTTAAAGGAAGCCATCTTGCTTCGATCTAGTTGAAGCTATACTATTTAGTTGCGAATTTATCTTATTTTTCTTTCTAAACGATCAGCTGATATTGAATAATAATAAAATGTAATAAAAGAATAGCCAAAACAAATTAAAATATAGGCATAAGTGATAATAAGTGGATTTAGATAATACATTATCCTTTTTTGTTTCGTATAATTTTCTCGTATTTCCAGACATTTACTGATAATAGCAATTTTCTCTGATAGATGAATCTGGACAAACAAGACAAAACCAGGAAAATGGCGGAGTACGATTTGACCACGCGTTTGGGGGAATATTTAGATCGCCATTTGGTGTTTCCTTTACTGGAATTTTTGTCAGTAAAAGAGGTAATATAAAAGACAACCTACGTGTTGTATTTTGTGCTGGTTTGAATTATTATTCCATATAATGTGAAAGTCTTAAAGCGCTAATATGACGATTATTTTTCCATTAGATTAGGCTTATTATTATTATTATTATTGCATGCCATATCCTTCCATATGTCAATCTTCCTAATCAAATATTGATATATTATAATTGTTTACTTGTACATTCTCTTGGTCTTATTATTTTGAAACATTATTGTCAGGAGTATTGACAGATGTCATAAGATCTGGTGTCAAAATTCAACAACCCAGTGAAGAAATTGACAAATATCATGCAAACAACAACTCATGATTGGAGAAGTAGCCCAGGCCTATTCATTATATGTTATGCCTTTTAGATCTATATCTTTGTTTTTTCAACTTACATGGAATTTATTAGCAGAATTAAGATTTTATTTCTGTTTTTGTTATCGTAACTTGATTGTGCTCATGATTATTTTGTTTCTAGCTGTACGATGACAAAGAGATGTTGAAAGGCAAACTTGATCTTTTAAGTAACACTAATATGGTGGATTTTGCCATGGATGTTCACCAGAACTTGTATCCAGATCAACAAGTTCCACCAGGTAGCTTATTAATACTATTAATTAGTTTCTTGTTTTTGATTTCGAATTTTCTTAAAAGTTTATAATGCGTTATAAGTTTTATTGATGCTCCAAAAGGGATTAGAACTTGACACAAACAATGTTTTTTTCTTATAGTATTAAAAGATAAGCGTGGTAAAGTTGTAAATGAATTAAAAACATTACAAGCTGAAACAGATGTTATTACTAAAATATTTGAAGATCCTGAAGTTACAAGAACCATTCAAAACAGGTAAAGAATAATGTTCCTTTGATACTAACGGATGCTGATGTGGAGGTATGTTCTCTGTCAGAGTGTATGTCATATTCTTGTGAATCTATAAACTAAAGGCAATATTGGCTAACAATAGTTTTTTGTTAGATTTCAAGGCAGTGTCTCACGGGGAAGAAATTTTCTTTTTACACCTTACTAATTTTTTTTTTCAGAGATGGTAGACAATTATGTGACTTTTTATACCAAGAAAAGGGTGTAAGTGTAATATAAATTAATATTTGCATTAAACCTGCTGATATGAACATCTTGAAGACTGTCCTTGTTGTAGATTCAGATACTTAATAACAAATAGCAATTGTTGTCTGTCTTTATTTACTCATTGAGGTTCAGAATAGAAGTTTATATGTGAACTATTTTTTTATTTTCAGTTTAAGCCTGAGATGGTAGAAACATTATATAATTATGCTAAATTTCAATATGAATGTGGTAATTATTCTGGAGCTGCTGAGTACCTTTATTTTGTTAGAGCTCTTGTAAGTTTTCCTATCCAGGTTAAGGTCCATATGCGATAAAGCACATTTCGTAATAAGTGACATCAGCAAACACTTTAGTTCTATTGGAGGCGGAAGGCTGATCGAAAATTGGAAATTTAGAAAACCTCTTTACAATCCTTTCATTGAATTGCCTCTGTAGATGCTTTCTATGTATTACTCTGTTCTGATAGCTAGAGCTCCAAATTCTCAAGGATGGTATAAATTGAAAATACTTAAAACTGAAAATGAGTCAAGACATTTGAATAGAAATAAAAACCATTTAATTTTCTTATTTCAACAAAACATTTAGAATCAAACTTTCAAACTTGTTAGTGTGTTATAGTCAATTTCAATGTCCCATTTCAGTTAGCACCAAATGATAAGAATTTTATGAATGCTTTATGGGGAAAGTTAGCATCAGAAATATTGATGCAGAATTGGGATGTAGCATTAGAAGATTTGAACAGATTAAAAGATATCATAGATCATAATGTAAGTACTGGAGTAGTAATAATGACAGTTGTCTAGTGTTTAGGAGATGTTATATATCAGTGAAAATCTAAGATATGAGGGCTCCACCGATATGATACAAAAGAATGTGGAAGTTAAATAGCTCAGTCGTTGTTTGCTAAGTGATTCGGTGCTTTGAGTTTAAATCCTCCTTAAGACAAGAAAAATTCTGATGCCACTTTCAGTGTTTCAGAGAATCAGCCACTAATACAAAATGATACAGAGAAGCAATTTTCAATTGTCACTCTTGCAAAATAGTTCTACAAAGACTTCTTTTTCACTTACAACATTTTGTTTGCAGACTTTTGCTGGAGACTTACAGTTATTACAACAGAGAACTTGGTTGATACATTGGAGTTTATTTGTCTTTTTTAATCATGCTAAAGGAAGAGATACAATAATAGAAATGTTTCTATATGAACAGAGGTAGGTCTTCTATTTGTGATTTTTACATGTTCCTAAGGGTGCTTGCCTACCTATAGGGATTAGGTTTTGACACAACCAGGATTTTTGAGATAGCCCTGTTCAACGGTTTTATACGTGTCAGTGGGGTAATTTCCCATCTGAAGGCAAAGAGTAAATTAATTTGAATTCCTAAATGGCAGGTACTGGCATAGATATATAAATTGTTGGTAAAATGGTCACATGACTTGCAATTTGGTACATTTCAGTTATTTAAATGCCATACAGACAATGTGTCCCCATATATTACGGTATTTAACTACAGCAGTAGTTACTAATAAAGGTAGATGGAGACAATGCATGAAGGATTTAGTCAAAATAATTCAACACGTAAGTATGAACTATTTTATACATGTGGTTAACTGTGGTCTGATTGCAAACATGAGAAAGGATAGTTATCTTTCCTTTGGTTATGTGTTGGTTTTGAATTTATATCAGAAGAAATAACATGTGATGTAATTTTCCTTCAATAAAACTTGAATAAATATGATTAATTATACACCAATTTGATGCCATTTCACATCATAATTAACTTTGCATTTTCAGGAATCCTACACATATAAAGATCCCATTACAGAATTTATTGAATGTCTGTATGTACATTTTGATTTTGATGGTGCACAGAAAAAACTTAGAGACTGTGAAACTGTAAGTATCTCTGTACATCTAGTCTTCTACTTTACATGGTTGCAATGCCAGATTGTGATTAGACTAAGATTAAGTCGACAAATGCTTCACATCTTGGTCGAAATGATTTAAAATCAACAGTGTACACTATACACATGCAGTTCTTAGTTTACCTGCAAAGTTATCTCTCTATTTTCTTTTCAGGTTTTAAGTAATGATTTCTTCTTGGTGGCCTGTTTAGATGATTTTATAGAAAACGCCCGGTTGTTAATTTTTGAAACGTTTTGTAGAATACATGAGTGTATTAGTATTGGGTAAGTGTATTTAAGAAATGTTAGGATAGTACAAGAAGTCAGTAGAAACCGATCATCTCTAAAATACATGTGAAGTGTCAATACTTTCAATGTAATAATAATATCAGCATATTGTAAAAGAATTTTATCTTAGGTTGACTTCTATAACAAAGGCTTAAAATCACAGTCATTGTTAAATAGCTGAGGTTTAAAAATTGTATTTGAAAGGATTCATTAAGAGAACTTGATAAGAAATTACATATTCATTAATCAATTAGCTGTTTTTTGGAGAATTTTTCTCCTGAACAGCTCAACACAACAAAAATGAAGTAATTATATTTTTGACAACCAAGACTACAATTATATGACAGTGACTTATGTAAACTTTGAAAACAGGGCGTTATTTACTACTTATTTATTTAGATAAAAAATAACAGACTCTGTATTGTTATGACATAAAATTGCCTATCAATGGTACATCTTGGCAGCAGTTGAAACAAATCGGGGCTTTAATTATACTTCCTAAATTTATTGGCAATATATTCTACAAATAATTTCATTATATTTTCAAACAACTAGAATTATGACAGATGAATTAATTGCTTTTCTTCTTGATGTTTAGATAATTTCATCAGTTTCATTGTCTATCTGCTGGCTGCACAAGGCTGTATTTGCCAGATTAATGCATGAAAATCTTTATTGCCTAAGTTGTTCCCATTTTGAGCATATGCAATAACTTTTTAAATTTTTATTTTGAAATTTTATTTAAACTATGTTAAGGATTGATACTTTTGAAAAATTAAACAAAGCAATTTGAAGCACAAAAATACAACAAATTGTGGCAGGCATTTTTGAAATAATTAAATTACATTATTTTCGGTAGACATAGACATAATACTTCAATGTTGATTTGTAGAAATTAATCAGAAAAACATTCACTTGAAATATTGGAACTGTTCAAAATTTTGACTAATTGCAGTCATTAATTAAGTCTAAAACTCGTTAATATTGTCCCACCCACGGAATGACTACAAATGATGAAATATTGTACAGGATTCGAGTCACTGGTTACACAGAAATAAAACCTGATTTACTACTTAATGATAAACACAGACCTAGTCTGGCAACACTGTCTATTCTGGCACTATGCCAACCATATTGAAACCAGCAGAAGTCTGTTTCTCTAGCTCAGCCTTTTTATATGTTTCTTTGGGCCCCACAAGAAGATGTAATTGGCCCCATCATATAATTATTAGACTAAGGTCAATGATATTAGTGGCAGGTGTCAGTTGGTTGTATTAAACTAATTATATTATAAGATACATGATTATCTAGATTTTAATATAGCTTTGCTGTATGGAAGTGATAACCAAATAAACCAAATTAAAACCAACAATAAATGGAAACATATCAACAAAATACATCTCTTTTAACAAGGGTTCTGGCTCGTTTTGGGTTTGAAGCCAGTATGTTTCACTATGTATGGTTGTATGGAAGTCTGTTGGACAAAGACACGTGTATTTCCATAATAGCCATCTCTTTCCATATTTTGATAAATTCTTTTTTCAGAATGTTAGCTGAGAAATTAAACATGTCACCAGATGATGCTGAGAAATGGATTGTTAATTTAATCCGGAATGCCAGATTAGATGCTAAAATAGATTCTAAATTGGTAAGTTATTTTTGTTCTGCATTTTTATATTGTTTTTATTATCAAAAACAGACTGGTTGTGAATTGGGTGTGTAGATTTATGCACAAGATCTTGGCCAAGTTAAAATTTAAGTATGAGTCAACAAATATTCACAGAGTTACAGCCCTTGATATACTGAAATTTATTAGATAAGTGAGTGTACCTTACATGACAATGCTTGTTTTGAGAATTGAAGGTCTGTTATACAGCGGAAATTCCCATTTTATTTTGTCAAATTAACAAATTTCTCATTATTTTCAGGGTCATGTTGTAATGGGAACTCAAGCTGTTTCACCATATCAACAAATTATTGAGAAAACTAAAAACCTTGCCTTCAGATCACAGGTTATAGCACAAAATGTGGAGAAAAAACTTGGTCATAGTAAACAAGATGTTGTAAGTATTTAAATCTTTAAAATATATACTTTCTATCAGGATGACAATAGAATTTCATTTTTTAAACTTGGCCAAAATGAGTCTAACTGGACTTAACTGGCGTAATTAATGAAAAAAGCTTAATATTTTCAAGTGTTTTCTCTTTAATTACTCAGTTTTAGGGATTTTCGATTGATAATATTATACCTAAGCACATGTCATACTGTCTGTTATAGCATTGGAAACTTTACTTTTCATTTGCATGGCTCATCGAGCAAATGGTGATCGTGGGTTATAATCTTGAAGGGCATTTGAAAGTCTCTTGACCTTGAATAAACCTGTTCTCATTATTCCAGTACACCCAGCTGTTAATGGGTACGGCTAATCCAGGAAATGGGATTGGCCAAGGATCCTAAATTGTTAGCCTGATAAAAGTTGTTGCCTCTCTTCGTAGCGAATATTCTTGCCATGCTAAATATAGGAGTCATATGTAATGTTGGGTTATCAATAGTTTTTGGATTCACCTATTACATTAAATTTCTTTTTATTTCAGAATCAATGGGGAATACAGGAGTAGTCAACTATATGTTACAGATTCTTTTTATTTCAAGACAGTTTCCAATCAACATGTATTATTTATCAAAATTAGGCCATATTAAAATTTGGAAGAGAGGTTTCTTTGAGTTTTTAATTGCTTTGTTTATGATGGAATGTTGTCATCACAAACTGCCCTTAAACACCTGTTCATCGCCGTCGAAATGCTCCAGAAACGCAAAGCTGCTATTACATGTGTATGCAAACTCAACGCATGCTCAATAAAAACAGATCAGAGCAAACCCTATCCAAATCCTTAGCAAATCCAAGTTTCTGCTTACACGTGTCCCCAAACTCCATACTCAACACCCCCGTTAGCGCGACAAATGGCTTTTGCGTTTACGGACGGCTATGGACTGCTGATTCGGTACAAACACTGACGATGTGCGTGACTAATAGGAAAACAAGTATTGCCGATGCGTCACAATGTGTGCCAAGTTTGGTTTATCGTGCATTTCGTATGCAGTTCGAAATGTACAATGTGTGACCAGGCCGCAAACGTTGCTTTGGAAAACCCTCGATACTTATCAAAACGCATACGGATGCGGACACAAAAATGGATTGCACAGCATTCTCACGAATACACAAAATGGGATTTTCATTACATATCTTATGTTTAGCTGTACTGGTTAAAAGTATATGATAAATTCCAAAAAGGTTTTTAACTGCACCTAATTAGCGGATGTATTGTGCGTGACCTAGCTATTTTTAAATTTATTATACCTACCTGTTAATCCTTAAATCATTTATTAATCTTCTCTTCTCCAGTGAAAAACTCTATTGATAAATATCAGGTTACATGAAATTAGTTGGGAAAGGTGTACGTCTATAAAAGATCAAAAAACCTCGTGAAAAATTTGACACTATTGTAAAATAAATCACAATTTCGAATTGGATTGAGACAATGTCGCACCATATTGAAAATTGACCACGCCTTCAGTTAGGGTTACGCCACATTATTTGAATTTATTTGAATTTCCGGCCCTCCGTAATGCTAGATTAAGACGTTGCTAGGCCAATGATATATCTCTATTTGTAGAAAATTGAAGATTGTCGCGGTCATGTACAATCAGGCATATTCCCAATAGTCATACACTCAATAGTCATACACTTAATAGTCATTCTAACAATCGTCATACACCTAATAGTCATACTAACAATCGTCATACACCTAATAGTCATACTAACAATAGTCGTACTAACAATCGTCATACACCTAATAGTCATACTGACAATCGTCATACACCTAATAGTCATACACCCAATAGTGATACTAACAATAGTCATACACCTAATAGTCATACTAACAATCGTCATACACCTAATAGTCATACTAACAATTGTCAAACTAACAATAGTCGTACTAACAATCGTCATACACCTAAAAGTCATACTAACAATAGTTATAAACCTAATAGTCATACACCCTATAGTGATACTAACAATAGTAATACACCCAATAGTCATACTAACTATAGTCATACTAACAAACTACTACACAAAGAGTGAATGATAAGCAGCTGCATATTATCCCACATTTTACCGTAGAATATAGTTAATGTCCTTGCACCCCTCACTTCACATTGTGAAACCTGTAAAATAAGACTAATTGATACATATAGAAAGTTCAGTAAGTGTAAAAATAAAAGTCAATTAAAGTATCAAGTTTATCACTGTAAGTAAATTATTCAATAATAACTTATTTCACTGTCATTTCAAATCACATCAAAATTTGTCACGGACCCCCCACTAAGCTAAGCAGCCCAATGTAACCTAAAAGCAAACCTTTCTCTTCTTTTTTTCTGGTAAATTTCACATCGCAGCTCATTGGGCGATTAATTTAAAAAAATGTTGAAAAGACTGACATCTTATCCGATTGCATCGGCAACCTTGAAAAGGTCAATCACTTTCCTCTCCTCTAGAACGTCTTTCTATCTTCCAGATCTTCTATATTTGATCTTCCTCTGATTCTTTTCATCTCTTCTATATTTTCATCCTCTCCTTTCAATCTTCTTTATATCCCCCGAATCTTCTCCATCTCTTCTCAACTTTCTTCCCTTCCTCTCATCTCAATCTTCTTCCTATCTCCTCAACCCCCGCTTTCCCTCCTCAACCTTCCTCCCCTCCTCTCATCTCAATCTTCTTCCTATCTCCTCAACCCTCGCTTTCCCTCCTCAACCTTCTTCCCCTCCTCTCATCTCAATCTTCTCTTTTTCACTTTACGTTTTTACTCCCCCTGTTCCCGTCTCAACCCCCCTGCACACCCCTCGTTATCACTTCTCAGGGTATCCACATGCACCTTCAGTACCCGACAGTGGGCCAAAAATTTCATTGCTAAAGATGATGTTAAATTTCATTAAAATACTCGGGCGTATTGAAATATTTAATAAAAATACGTCTGTTCAATTAACGCTCTGATGCATGTTTGATTTTCTTAACTTCACCGTTGATAAACACTCATTTGGGAAAATTTAATTAATTTTGAAAGGGATAAGGACTTGAAATCTAACTCTTAATAACATGATAGAATTAAATTGAAAATAAGAAAAGTTAAAATGTAAACATACAATTATTTTTGGTGACAACGAACAAACTTTTCATACAATAGATAAAGTAAATGTTGATTTGTTTACTAAGAAGAGATTTGATAGGCAAAGAAAATTGATATATATTCTAAACACAAAAACATTGTCGTCTGAATTGCCATACACTTTGGCGGCCATCTTGAATTTGGGTTGAAAGGAAGGAAATTGGTTAAAGTTTTTGAAAGAAGTGTGAAATATGTGTAAAGTTTGTTCAGTGCATTATGACAATAGAGCAATAAAGATGCAGACTGAACTGTTATTGTAAACTTGACGATAGTAAATTAATAGTTCTATATAAGTTTGATAAAAAGACGTGTTTTTGAGCAAACATTTTTATTTAGTGATAGATCTTTTGGGCGACTGTATTCACGCAAAAGTATGACTATGCCTTTAATGTTACTGTACAAAATGACAACATTCTTGTTCTTTGTCCGTTCTACTTAAAATACACACCTGGGACCCATTTCATTCAAAAAGAAAAAAACATTACATTTTCGATCAAATTTTTTCGAAGACTTTTGTGGAATGACATGTATTCGAAATTATACTTACTACAAAAACTTGGGTTGAGGAAAAGTTAGAGCTTTATGTTTAAGGTGAGAATAGACGGTGTACGATGTTCGGTGTGGTATACGGTGCGGAATGATCGATACAGTAGAAAACAGTTGAAGCGAATCGTGTCCGCGCCGTATCTGTTTTATTTTCTACTGTATCGATCATCCCGCACCGTACACCGCACCGGACACCGTACCCCGTCTATTCCATCGTCATTATATTTGCTTAAAGCTCATAGTTTTCAGTTGATATATTTAAGTGCTGACCATAATAGCAAGGCCGCTTAAATCGATGCGAAGGGCTTTTCACATAAATATACATAATTATGTAGCTCTTCAGTTTTCATTGACCACGAATCATAAAACTTGATGTTTACAAGGAAGTCTTTGAGGTACTTTTTCTCATTAGTAGTATTTAATAGTACTAAGTATTAATGGTGCGTTATAAAGTTTGGTAAAAATATACCAGTAACAATTTAATACTCCAATCAAAGTATGTTTTATATCGATATCAGATAACGTGTTTCCACGAATCAAGTATTTGAAGTATATAGCTGGCAGCGACCTTGAGTTATTCATTTTCTATTCTTATCTTTTAAAATTTCGAACTCGAATTAAATTTTAATTTCAGTTCCATGTCCTTTAAGTAGCTTTCAACTTTCAATCCCAGTAAATGACGTCAGTTAAACTGTTTATGAGTCTTTCAGAATATTTTCCAATTCGGGAGAATCTCAATCATAAAAGATCTCTAAAATTGAGATGTCGTCATTTTTACCGGTTTTTCAAGCTGAAATGAGTACTACCAGTACAGACCCAAGAAAACTAGCATCGTACTGTTGGACACAGTATTTCGCATACTTCGACTATACATTGCCAGATATATCACTTCCAAAAGTAGTTCATATCAAATAGTAAAAATTGTAATAAACCCTAACACGATGCTGCCATTTGTGTGCGTTTGTGTTTTTGTGTGAGCAGATTAATAGAGAAAAGACTTTTTTATCAGACGAAAGAGGATCAGATATAAGCACATTAAGGAGTTTGATAGGTCAACAAAACGTGGTATATACTTCGCTATAATTCTTATACGTGATGTTCAAGGTTCCCATCTGTACGTTACATGCTCACGAATCCAAACCTTTTTTATGTTCTCAATTTTATCAATGGATATTATTCAGGGTAACTTGATCTTCTTAGAATCTCACTCATCTTGGCAACTAAAAGGCCACAGATCTGTCTTATGAATTCTCAAGAAAAGACGAGTCGTCATATTAACTTCGAAACGCAGATGGGCACAGTGGCGGAGCCAAAGGAGGGGGAGGAGGCACAGAGGGATCACCCCCCCCCACCCCCCCTCTCCACCTTGTAGTCCACTTCGGACGTAAACCTGGCTCCGCCACTGGATGGAAACACACTTTGATTTAAAGGCTCAAATTTAGACGGTACGATCGTTCAAACAGATGGCAAACTTGTCCCCTGTACCATTAAGATCAGAATATGACTGGACTCGAAGGACACCTGTTCAATGCTTTAGATAGAAATGTGTTTAAATAGGTGTCCGAAGTAGTAATATATATTTTGGTCCGAAATAGTAATATATGTCCAAAGTGTGTATGTATATGTAATTGGAAAGAAAGAAATTATTATTGCTTTAGATTATACGAATGATACACGGTATTGACATTTTTGTAGAATTTTTCAGATTCAGGAGAATTACTTGAGAGATTATTTATATGTCTGTCTTCACAACTATATGTGTATGATACTAAATCATAATGAATATATTATTGAACATTATCGTAATTATCAAAAACAAATCAAAAATTTAATCTTAAATTTCTTTATTCAAATCAAATCATCTGAAACCATGTCAAATTTATATTTTTAACCATGCCAAATGGAGACACACACGGGAATATACCTACCTTTAAAAATATATCCATTAGCAAAGTTTGATCTTAATCTTTTAATGCATCTTAATTTTTTTTTTCAAATTAGAATTCGAAGGATTTCATCAATTGAAATTGTGGTCTCTGCCCTTTTCACATGCAGTAAATGTGTAAAATCGTGTCATGGGATCTTGATATTTCGTGTTGTAATTTTCTATCACATCTTCAAAATCTGAAAAGAAAGAAGGAATTTTTCTCAAGTATAACATCTTGGGTTCAAGAGCATTCTTACTCTTGACCTTATTCGCACCCATCAGCAGCTAGGTCTACAGGAATGTTGACAAAATTAGAATCAGATTAAATTTCGCGACAAATTCCTGCATATTTCACATTTATAATTAACAAATGGAATAAAAAAGAGGGGGTTTAAATATCGATCCTTGTCTCATCCCGCGACAAATTACATGGGCAATTGAATTTCAACTTCAGCACGATTATAGAATTACCTTTATTCTTAAATAGTTAATTAGGTCAGTATTAATTGGTCCATAGTATCATTATAAACCCATATGCCCATTAATGATCTAAATCTAAAACTGAATCATGCAAGTTGCATATCGAAATCAGATAGTCAAAAGAAAATTTAAATCAAATTCCGAAAATAAAACATTCTTTAAATACAGTTTGGGGCAATCAGATGAAATTTCGTCTAATCTTAAATGATCGCATTTTTATCTTCAAGTGAAATTGATTAAATTAGTCTGACGATTTCCTTTTACAAATTTCACACTTGACGAATGAAGAAAATTTGTTTTTGATGGGAGATGTAAGGTTGGGGGATTAACTAATGTTAGAAAAATATCTTATCTTGGAAAAACAGCCAAAGGGGATTAGGGAAGGAAAATAAAAGTTTGGGTAATAAAAGTTGGCTGGCGAGTGAATGAATTATTTTGTGTTGAAGTATTCAATGTGTAAAGGAGTGAATTTTGTTAGCTTTCAACATAATCATAACAGATGAAAAGCGTTTTGTTGCCCATTTTGAGTTTATTTCAAAGAAAATTTCATCGATTCTCTTTGTTCTGAAATATCGCCAACGAAGACATTTTTGAAATAAATTTGCGATTGAATGTGGAATATTTTGATATTTGTTAACCTTGTTCTTGTGGATTAGCTTTAAAGAAAAGTACAACATCAATTATCTAGTATCAAAATCAAAGATTTATGACAACAAAATAGAATAAAATAACTTTTGATCAAGTGGAAAAGGAAAGTTAGAAGTTGGATAATCGAATTATGAAATTTGGATGAATATAGATGTAAAATAGTAGTTTTGTAGTAAAAGATACTATAGGTAGATAGACACTATATAGTTTTATTGTTATACTAGTATAAGTTAAAGATATAAACACTAAAACGTCTCTAGATTTCTACCCAAAAGGTTTATCGTAAACAACTCTCTATCTTTACCTATACTATCACTT